GTCATGCAAAAGATTTCATTTTGTTAAATTTGAGGCTTTTGAATTTGTTTCATAGAACTTATTACATTTATAGCCCTTGAAAAGTGTGAAAAAGAATGCGATATGCCTGAAATCATTCTGGTACGATGTTTTTGTCCGCTGAAAATTAAAAATACTCAATTTTCGTAAGGATTTCACCTTAATATTTTCTTTACGTCTAGTATAGGACGGTGCAGGTCTAAGGTAGGGATTCACTTTCTTCCCATTCAGCAGATCAAACTAAGCCGTGCTTTGTTTTATTCAAGCCTGTTTATCTCGAATTCTTCCAGCTGTACAGAAATTTCTACTACGAGTTTCTTTCAGTACATCCCAGCTTCACAACCATGCTCAGAACAATAATCTCTGGCTGTATTTTGGTGGGCCACTGTGTTTGTATGTAAACATGGCGGATTCTTTAGCTACGTTCTCACGGTACTGGTCGAATTTTTGACCGGTTGAAAAATCTGTCCGGGCACTTCGTTCACACGGAACCGTTCAATATTTTTGCGCTGTTCACATTGAACTGTCGAACCGAATTGAAATATTTCCAAAAAAAGCGAGTAATAACGGCGACTCGTATATCCATGTTCGCAGTATCACAGGAAAAAATGGTGAGATTCCAACATGGATTATTATTGGAAAACATCTTAAATAAACTATCCAATATTGGAATAATATTGGAATAATTGGCAATTTGCAAAGGGGACAAATAGTTTTTGGAATATCATTGGTATATTAGTCATTTAACAACCCAAGATGGTATTTTGATGGCAGTTTATTGGAATATTATGTTTCAGAGGTAACAATCCAATAAGATACCATTGAACTAAACTTGGATTGTTAAATAAACTAGCCTGCGCAGGAAGCGTTTCCGCGCGAGTTCGTCGAGAAAATTGGGACAAGAGCGAAAAAAATGATTGACGGGGGAGGGGGAGGGGAAAGATGGAAACGCTGTTTCCTCTTCTCCTCTTCTCCCCTCTCCCTCCCCCTTCCATGCACCTTTCTTTTTTTGCTCCCGCTCTAACTTTCGCGCAATAACACGATTGGAAACGCTTGCTACGCAGGCTAGAGAAAGGGCGGACTGCAGCAGTCTCTTGTTGACGCAGTATACTTTTTTCTGCTTGTGCAATCCAACCTGACTTGCGCGTGATTCGAAGTTGCATCCAATAAAAATCACACAATTTTTCTGGACGAGCACTGGATACGGGAAAGTTAAAAAAACAAGGCAATTTTTGAATCCCAAGAAAAATACGAAAGGAATGCGTTACCGAATATCGACGGTACCGATACCGAAAGGAATGCGCTACTAAATTTATGTCCTCTTGCTGTTCTTGCCATAACGTATCTGCTGTTGCGGAGGGATGTGGTAGAGACTGTAACTTATGTTCAACTTCGTCGTACTGGACCGCCACAAGCAGTTTTTAATTTCTAGTTGTATTATGTATCTATAGTTTTAGTTGGTAGCATATTTTAGGTAGCCCGAATTTCATCCGATTACTTCGAGTCGTTATTACTCCCTCAGTAACATCTGAATCGACCTGCCGTTAAGGTGACTCAACCCAGTTTCTTTTTTTTGGGGGGGGGGGG